ATTGTAACTATTTGTTCACGAAACTTAATGTGACAAACCAAATTGTACGCGGGCGAAGCCGCGGGCAACAGCTAGTAATTTATATTTTTACTTCAAAAATACAGTAACTAAAAAAATATGACAACTGCACTAAGTAAAGAATAGCTTTTAGAATCGAATTATGTAACCTATGAAGAAATTTGGCCAAACTAAAACAACCGTCAACGACGTCTGCCCTCACACGTCTGCTCGCGTTCGGATCGCGTTGTCGGCGATGGCGCTTCATTGCTTAGACCACTCCTCTACCCCCGCGCATCGTGCCCCGTCGTCTTACGGTAGATGCGAGTCGTAATGCTTTACTGCGTAGCGCCAAGTTAATCTTATCGTGATAACTTTCAACCGATTCGCCCAAATTACTCAGTGTAAAAGACAAAGTTTATCTATATTAAATACTTAAAACGAAAATTGTATAATTTTTTTAATTTTGTTTATAGCTCAGTATTAATGGCTACCACATGAGAGGTAGATATATGCTATCGCGGACTTTTATTTAGAAAATTTAAGACGAACAATCTTACGGTACATAATCTTCATGTAATTCCAACGGTATAGGTAGCGCACGTCAAGATAGCAAAAATTTTTTCGACTTACCTAATATCTACTTTTCGTTATATTATGATCAAAATTATATATTATTCTTACGTATAAGCTGTATTTATGTGAAGCTTCTTCGTTTAGGCGTGGAAGAGCCAGAAACATACATACATACATATATATACATTTATCCATCCTCACAAATATTAGCATTTATAATATTAGTAAGATAGATAGTATAGATGTTTTGATTTGAAAACCAGCCTGAATATGACGACGATGCAGGATTAGAGATGATAGATTTGTAGAATATTTCTGCTGAAGGGGAACATTTATAACACGATTATTGTTTGAGGAATCTTTAGAAATAGCAAAAAGCATCACATATGTGATATAACATATTTTAATCTATATAGGTGTAGTTTTTTTGACAGTTTTTAATACTGATGATATTTTTGTTTTTTCGAAAATCTGTACAAGAAAAATTTGCTTTTATTGTCACATATGTGATCACTTACAATAAGTGAATTTAGTAAAGAAGCAGTCATTCACAACTTCGTATTTATGTTTTTTCATATTCTGTAAGTAAGGATTGCAAGAAAATCAAAGAGACATTTTAATTCAAAATTCGTTATCATTCTATGCATACATTATAATATATCAGAAATATTTTTTTAAGTATCTTGCCTTTGGAAAATATGAATTAGTCGCCCTCATCCTTCTCGTATATCATAATCATGCACTATAGCAAGAAGTACTTATAACAACTATTTTCGCTTATCTGGTGGTATAATAATGCACCCCTTACAAACTTTCAGAAATGTTTCGAAAGAAAATACCCCAATTTGAATGACAGAAAAACAATGGCACGTCTCTAACTTGGTAAACAAGGGTCGAAACGTAACTTATATTTATTGCGAATCGTTTCTCCATATCTCATTACCCAGGGATGCTGACGCTGGCAAATATCTCTGCAACGCCGTGAAAAACCGCCCCCAGTTCACTTAATCAGCAAAGGGGTGCTTTGGATGGGAAACATTAGACATTTTTTCTTATTGAGTCGGATAAGGGAAATTAGAAAGAGCTCAAAAAGTGACCAAACAAAATTCCGGGAAGTTTGCTAGCTCCAGTTCGCTCCAAGGTCAATAGGGGTTGCCTAATCCCCTTATAATAGGAAAATAAAAGCAAAATATTGCTCGCCGCTTTCAACGGTCCCGCTTTTTACCAGCCACTGAACAATCACCTTCCCCTAATGAATGAAATGATGGGAAATATTTTATAAATTGGTTTCCTTGCGAACGATTTTAGTTTTTTCGGCTTATCCATTACGATACTTTATTACAAGCTTGGCAATGATTCATTGTACGGAGAAAGTGAAAATAACCTCATGTAGTTCAAGATGCGAAACTATGACTTCAGAGTTTGTTCCATCTATTAGCTTAATTTGTGAAGTTATATTTCCACAACAAGCGAAACGACTTCTTCTCT